CTCCAAACTGCACGTTTATCTGATTGATTCCACATTTATAGGCCACACCACAAAGTGCACCCAGTCAGGAGTTGGAAGGCCTGAGGTTTACCCTGCCTCTGTCACTTGGTTACTGCAAACTGGGCGCTCTGCTCTCATGGGGTGATAATACTGTCTCGTAGAGATGTTCTGTGGATTGAAATATATGTAAAAGTTCTAGAAGGATATATAAGCCTCCATTAAATATTACTTTTCTCTCATTCCCTTTTCCTTCCTGGCCTTCATGAAGTCACGTGGCAAGGTCAGAGCCAAGTGTTTGCTGTTAAGAAGCTTGTAGATAGCTTCGGCTAGCTATCAATGACCTAATAGTCCCATAGCAACAGTGAGTGAGGCTTTAGTTTTATATGCTCAGTGCTAATCAGTGAACTCTTAACTCAGCACCAGGCTATAAGACAAACACATGAGGTAAATTAAAGACACTGAAATGTTTAGTAAGCTGCATTTATCAGAAGCAGGGAAATTGATCTTATTTTAATAATGTGACTCTCATCCAAATTATGTCATTATTCTTATAAATATTAATCAATTAATAGCAAAATCTTATAACATAGTCCCAGGGATTTCAAAGAATGAGAAGAGCCTAAGAAATTAGGTAACACTTTTGTTTAAACCTGGTGGTCTTAAAACAAATGTGATATAATCTGAATCTGTTCCCCTCTGGCTGGTGGGTGCATAAAGGAAATATGTTTGTAGGAGACCCGGGAGTTGGCTGCAGGTAGTAGATTTGCATTGTGCTAAGGAACATTCAGATGCGGATGTAGGGAGGGCACGGTGGTGATCTGGGAGAAAGATGGACGTGTGTCTGAGCAGAGGCAGCATGAAAAGGGGCAGCCACCGGGCTACCTCAGCAGGAGGCACAGAATTGTTGCAGACTAATGAGCTCTCGCAGTGACTAGCAAGTCTTCAAGATAAGCCCCCAAAGATTAGAGAAGTTCCAAAGCACTCTTAGATCCTTTTCTTTTACTGATTTGGGGGTTATTGTAAATGGGGTTTACTCAGAAAATAAGCTAAGACACTCTTAGGGGAGCTGCTGAGAGTGGGAGGGTGTAGGGACTAGGCTGTAAACAAGGCACAGGAAAAAAGAGGACAGCCAAGAAAAGTGGCCTCCTGCCCTTGAGATTGGAGGCAGGTGTTACATGGAGATGAAAAGCAAGCCGAGAGAGCCAGAGCCCTGTTTCCAAGCAAGGTCACCACACAGGAAGTCCTGCAGCAGCTGGGAGTAAGGAGTGCCCTGGGCAGAACCTGCAGGGAGGTGATCTGGGGACAGTTGCCCAGATGGGGGGAGGAGTGGACTTGGGTCAGTGGAGAAAGCAGGAGGGACAGTCCTAGTAAGACAAGCACAGAACTCTGGTGAAGGCAGCAGGCAGGGCTGCACACGGCCAGTCCCGAGAAGTGAACCCACCAATCCACTAGCGTGGCTCTGAGGAACAGTGGGAAATGAGACCCAAGTGTTGTGGACCTAGAATTCGGGGTGAAGGGAATTGTTTCCTTGCTATTTATGTGCTATAGACCTGGAAACCATTGAGATATGTGGGGCTCAGGCTTTCCAAAGTGTGCAATTAGAGATGCACACCTTGTCACACTGCAAGTAAAAACATTTGTGTTCAGGGAGAATGTGCAAAGTATTACATGCTCTGCTATGCTGAAAATAAAGAGCAAACTGAAAAAAAAAAATCTCACTCTAAGATAATCATCTTTTTAAAAAGACTAGGCCGCTTAATTCCTGGCCTCATTCCCGGAGGAGGCAAAGAGAACAAAGGTGAAAGATGAAATGAGAGTCTGTTCCTTTAAGCCATCTCAGAACTATTTGGAGTTAGATAAAATTACCTTTGTGGACTTATATGCTTTAAAATATGTTTAAAAGGGATACTCAGAATTTCAGTTTTTGGTCCTCCCACTTGGTTGAAGAAGGTAGGTCTTAAATGCTGTGGACTGGCTC